AAAAAAACACATCAACTGACACATCAGCAAAAAAATGCTAAATCACCTATTTAAGTGCCACATCAGTCTTGTTTAACGGTAAATTGACATCCGTTAACGGAAGGACCAAAAAGTACCGAAAGTTAATGTTGAAGACATTTTTTTTTGTACTTTTTAAAATTTAAGAATAATTTTGATACAAATCTCAAAGTTTAGGAATCAAACTCGTATTTTAACCTAGATTAAACCCATACATCCAAATTACGTTGCAATTTGACAGTGACACAAAATTTTCAATTTTTACTCGTATCGATATTTTGGTATTTGGTATTTCAGCCCTCATCCCAAATACCGTCCAATACCATTTTTTACGGAGGACTGTAGAAGGAACAAGAAGATGTGAAGGATGAAGATGTGATAGCAAGAATTAGCCTTGCAAATGTTTTTGTCAAAACCAATAGTGCGAGGTGACAAACCTCTAAAGACTCAAGGGTGGAGTTTGGGGTAAACTATTGCTGACTTAGGATGGATGCTTTACTGGTTAAGTTAGCAATAGTTAACTCCATGCCTAAAGTAAATAAAAGGTTAAAATACTAATTTAGTTTTTTAATTTTTAGATTTATATTAAAATTATTTTTAAACTTTAAAAAGTACTAAAATTATTTTTGAATTTTAATTTTTAACACTAAAATAGTCTTTTTGTTAATAATGTAACTTATTATTTTATCACAAAATTAGTTTTTTTTTTAATTATTAATGATATATAAAATTAAACAGTTATATTTTATTATTATAACATATTTTTAATTACACATCAGATTAATATGTAATTAGAGTTGAACGATTAAATTAATACTTGTAATAAAAGTTTAAGATCTAAGCTGGTATTTATCTTGAAAGTTTAAGAACTAAATTAGTATTTATCTTTAAAAGAACTAAGTTGGTATTAAATTAAAATTTAGGGATTATTTTGATATTAAAATTAGAATTTAGGGATAATTTTAATATTTTTTAAAATATAAAAATAATTTTAATATAAATTTAAAAATTTAAAATCTAAATTAATATTTTAACCTTAAAAAAAAGGTTTATAAATTAAAAAGAGTAACCTTGACAAGGACTTGTAAAGGATTTATAGAATAAGAGAAAGATCTCATGTAAATCACCCATAATGATTTTTAAAGTACGATGTGATGTCTTGAGAGATCTTATAAAAGTAAAAATCAAATACAATGAGCTTTAAGGAACTTACTGGACAACCAAAAATTGAGGTATTCGGACATATCCTGACATAAAGTAAGCTAGTGAAGTCGAAGAGGAAGAAAACTAGAACAATGAACTGATGATGAAAAGGTTGATTTTTTTTTTTTTATTAGTTTTAGTTTTAGATTTTCTCTAAGTCTTTTCTTATTAAATTATTTGTAAATATATTTAAAACTAATCAAAATAAATATCACTGCATATTTATTTCCAAAGAAAAAGATAAAAAGAGAATTTTTTATAATTTTTTCATATAACACTATATAT